TGTGTTAAATGATAGTGACCCTGCACTTGCCCCTCAAGTGGCTTAACTGAGCATCACAGAATGCTTCCTATAAGATAACTTATCTCACAGCCAGAAGAAAAGAGACTACTGTAGAGTGTAACCTAAACAGTTAAAACAGGGCTGAAGGCAAACCTTTGGAATATTCCACCTTTCACAAAGCACACTTTTCTATGATCAACTTTCCCTTCAAATTCTAGCTTCCACTACCAATCAGTTTAATTATTATGTCTTGAGAATTCACTGTATACTTGAAAGCAATATTCTTGTTTGGGAAGGGACAACAGCAAGATTTGGATGAAGCTCTAACACTTATCAGTAACTTTGAGACTATGCACTGGCCGGGCGGTGGTGGCGCACACCTTTAATCCCAGCACTCAGGAGACAGAGGCAGGCGGATCTCTGTGAGTTCGAGGCCGGGCTGGACCGACAGCCTCCAAAACAATACAGAGAAACCCTGTCTCATAAAACTGAAAAAAAGAGAGAGAGAGAGTATGTACGGAGCTAAGTGTAGACTGTGCTTCCTTCACATTGGTGTTCACAGTTAGGGTTTGTGCTGCAAAATGATGCTCTTACAGTGTCCTTCGGAGACCACAGGGCTACTGTGAGGCTAACTTTTTTTTGTTTTTTTGAGACAGTTTTTCTGTATAACAGTCTCCTGGCTGCCTAGAACTCATTTTGTAGACCAGGCTGGCCTTGAACTCACTGATATCTGCCTGCTTCTGCCTCCCAAGTGCTGGAATTAGAACTGTGCACCAACACCATCAGGCATGAGGCTAACTTCTAACAGATTCCTTGGGGGCTCAGAAATGCTGAGCAGTTGGAGCTGAATTGGTTGCTATTTCTCCTCAAAAATTGGTAAGATCTCTGGTTCCAACATCCCCTGAACATAGGCATACATGTGTGCTCATGCATGCACACAGATGCACACACACCACAGGTACACACACATAATGCACATACATGCATGCACACATATATACAGATATGCACACACTTGTGAACATACACGTACTTTCTGAAGTTTGGCCCATTCCTTAGTAACTTCCAGTGGGTCATACTAGTAGAATCTTCAGTGGCCAAAACTAAAAGACCTTGTTTTAAAGAACAGTCACACAGGAGAACTTCTTGTTCCTTTGTGACTTTTTGTGGGGACAACTCTAATAACAACAGCAGCTTATCCCATGCTCTCAATGGTCTCACTCTTTATATTTAATGCATAACAAATGAGTGAAGCCATACTATTTTAAAACTCAATTTACAGTTGAGGGATCTGATGCACAAGGATATTAAAAGTAATCCCTTGTTTTATAATACTGACAGTCCTAAAGACGGAATTTGCACTCAGGAAATCTGGTTCCAGGCTGTGCTCCTGACCATGATCATGCAAAAAGAACCAAACCTTCTTCTCAGTGACACTAGCTAGAGTTACTTGGCCAAGAGTTCCAGAGTCTTGCTCCATAACTGTGGCTGGCCTCATTCATGCTTCATGAGGCCTTCCTGATGCTAGGGTTGTATGTGTGGAATGCCACACTGCCTAAGATTTATCTTAGCATGTAAGTGATAACTCTTGTTAGGAAGTGGAAGGTAGTCTTCTAGGGACTTGGTGAACAGAATTAATGAGGAGAAAAGAGCTTTGCCTAACTTTAGAAATGACAAGGGCTCCCAAGAACTTAATTTATTCTGAAAAATCTGTCCACAAATCTGTTTTTCTCTCAAATGACTTACACTTTGACAAAGAGTATTAACTAGTTCTTTTTTCCATGACACCTTTATAAGGAAGGTCAATATTAATAACTCTAGTATTACTAGATATTGCACACAGAGAAGACGTGTTGAATTGCTGAAGCTCCCACAGCAGTTCCAGAAGCTAAGTTTCCTGCTTAGCTCGATTGTTTTACATTCTCTTACTTCTATATTTTTGGTTGTGAGCCTAGCCTTTAACGGCTGAGCCATCTCTCCAGCCCACATTCTCTTACTTCTAAAAAAGAAGAGTTAGAATTGAATTAGATGAAAACACTTTGCAGTTGTCTTTTACCTGGGACCTTGTTAGCTATAGCATTTCATTTAAATTATGAGGTTCTTATTAAGAATTTTGTCCCAAGGTTAGTCTAAGCCATAGAGTATCTTCCTTTTTACATCAGTTCAAAGTAAATGCTATATAGAAAACACTATTGTTATTGTGTGTGTGTCTGTGTGTGTGTGTGTCTGTGTCTGTGTGTGTCTGTCCATCTTTCTCAGCAGAGTCTCCCTATGTATCTCATGCTGGCCTCAAATCCTCCTGCTTCAGCATACATATTTATTTAGGGTATTGTTTTATGTTACTGGGGCCAATACTTTCTTATCTTTAACAAGAATATAACCTACCAGGAAATTAAGTAATGTTTTTCAAGGCCTGTCAGTTCTCCTCTGAGTTAAAGCAGAAGTGTACAGTGATCTAGTGAACACAGACTTTAGCTCTTTCTAAACTATTTCCTATGCTCCCCCATACCACATCAGGATGCCTGGAAATGTAGCTACTTAGACAAATCACAATTAACTCAAAACCAGTCTGTTTTTTAACTACTGGTATAAGAAAGCTAGCATTAATAATTCTTAATTTTTTAAGATTTATATTTTTAATTATGTATATGCTGTGTCTGTGTAGTACTGGTACCTGAGGAAGTCAGAGGCCTTAGGTCCCCTGGAGCTGGAGTTATAGGTAGTTGTGAAGCCACTCAATACAGGAGCTGGGAAATGAACTCTCAGGTCCTATGCAAGATAAGTATGTGTTCTTAACCACTGAGCAATCTCTCCAGCACCAACAGTCTTAATATTTAAAGCATTTGGTCTTCACTGGGCTGTTCTGATGCTTCTTACTGCTAAGAAGTGCCTCATACTAAGAACTTCCGGTTCTTCCTTCCCCTCCTCTATCTCCCTCTGAGAGCTACTGGCCTGGGTTTGTGATTTGGAGGACAAGACATGCTTCAGCTTCTCAGATGTTGCTTCCCAAGAGGGCCCAGGTCAGGGACTATTCAGGAAGAGCAGTTTTAGTTCCGAGGTCTTTTGAAGATCATACCTTACAGGTGCATCTGAGACATTTTTTATTGCAGACCCTTTAAATGATGAAATATTTTTGCTGTAGGAAAAGGGAAGAGAGGCAAGGCAATGTGACAGATAGCATCAGAAAGCTGAATCGACCTTTGCTTTGATAATATTACAGTTTACACAACCTGCATCAAGGTGAAAAATGACTTAATCAGTCCATATCATCAATATTTCATCTCTGCTTTTAATAGCCTTGCTTATTTATATCCCAATCAAGAACTGTCCCTGGGAAGTGTGGAGTTCTTCGTAGTACATTAAAGTCAGTTGGGTGTGGAGTGTTGTCTATGTTCTGTTTTATTTCATTGTTGTTATGCTTAGTTCTCTGTACTTAATTATTCACACCAGATGGTGAAAACACAGGTGGGTGCAAATCGGTACCCTCTGTCCGCCCATGGTGGAATGTCGGGAGAGACTGCAGCTCCCGTTGCTCACTGTGTCAGTCGGATTGTATTCCCCGTTGCCTCCCAGACATAGGGAGGATTCCTGCTCCTGTGGTTCAGACACCCTGTTCTTCTTTGCCTGTGATGCTGCCTTCTATCCTCTCTGTTAGAAGGACTCGTGAGTAAAGGGTGGTAGGTCTGACTCAAATTCCAGAGTATTATTGTTTTCCCTAAGAATCAGTCTCCTTGTGTCTAAAACAAAGATACTTAACAGTTTTTATAAGGGTTAAGTGAAAGGATTAAAAAAACACACAGTACTCCATAAATATTGGCACCTTTCCCTGCAGTTCCCCTTCTGTAGGCTTAGTGGATGCTTGAGAATTGAAGTTATGGCTCCTCAAAGTGTTTTCTTGGAAGGACTTACTTGGCACACCATGCTGCCTCAGCATTGTTTGTCTTGTATTTGCTATCTTCTCGTGCTGCTTGTGAGTTTCTTGAAAGCAAGAACTCTTGAAACTGAATCCTCAGCTTTGGCAGTATCTTTGCTGTATGTGAGAAGCATTTCTGTGGAAAGTGGCTCCCTCAGTCTCTAGTCACACTTCAATGTCCTGGTAATGAAGTGACTTACATATTCTTAGTAAGAAACCTGTGGCCTTCCAGTGACTCCATCTTCAGTGGCAGTGTACATAGAACAGAAAGGAGGGGGAAAGATGCCCATCCGGTGAGCCAGACCATCTGGAACAAACAGTGGCCAAGGAGAGATGTCATAGGCTGGTTATTGCCACAGCAGACACAATGATCTAGTATTCTCTGGCCCAGAAAACCGACATCAGGTGGGACTCAATACTGGGAGCTGTTGTGTCAATAGATATCCCTGATAGGATCAAATCCTTTGTCGCACGGCACAACTGGAGTGAGATCTGTCCCACTGTGTGATTCAAGAAGGCAGCCAGCAGTGCCAGGATCTCGTTCAAGACTTAACATTTGATTTTGGAACATCTTTACCTAGGCAGCTGGAATGTGCTGTCTAAAGAAAACCAGGTGACCTTTTCTCACTGAAGTCTTAATGTGGGATTGCTGCTATCACTCTCCTTCCTTGGTTTTTAATGCATATAACTTTTTAGTGAGCCCCTCACCTTTTGGTGTGTCTTTTGAGCTACATGAAACAGTAGTATATTTCTCTATAATCCATTATTCTCTGACATATCCAGACTCTACATTTCTCTCTTCTTATGGCATTTTTAGCCTCAAGGGGGTATTTTACAGTGATGGATGAAAACAGGATCTTGGGGCTTGATCTTTGTTGCCTTTCACCTTTTCACCAAAATACTCGAATCTTACATTGGCATAGGAGTCAAAACATGAATTTCAGTGCAAAATCATGAGTCACACGCATACTCTTATGGACTGATTTTTGCATTGTCACCTTTTGCTCTTGATGCTTCGGGACCTTGCATTATGAGGCAATGCGAGAGATCTTTTCTAATGTATGTGTCTGTGTCTCTTGTCATTGAGGTCATTGTCATGAGAAAGCCCTGGACAACAGCCATGACAAACAGAAATATTTTGACCACCCACAGTCACTGGATGCTGCTGGAGAAGAGCCCTCTGAACAAGGAACAGAGGAGGACCCTGTGCTTTCTGTTGAGAACTCAGGGAGGGACTCAGATGCCCTTAGGCTTGAAAGTAAGTCGATTTGACCTGAGCTGTGCTTCTGTGGGAAAATCAACTCCCAAACACCAGGCTTCCACTCTTCTCTCTTCTCTCTTTTCAAGAGCGTGTTTCCTTCTTGTAACAGCCACTCATAGAGTCAGAAGGGGGAACCATCAAATGATGAGGCAGAAGACACTGTATCAGGGAAGCGGGGTCTTCACACCCTTCCATTTACGTCCCTCTTTTGCTGGAGCAGACTTGATTCATGCATGTGCCGTCTCTCTTCTCAATGCTGTCAGCCTGTGGAGTGAATGTCTGCTGGCAGGAAGGTCTTTGTGTTCTGGAATGCCCTGTTGCTCTTGACCCTGGCCTGTCCTCAGATGCCCTTCCACTTCCCTCACCTTGACCTTCCCATCGGGAGGATACCTGTGTCCTGACCTTGTCCTTCCTGCCTGCCTGCCTGCCTGCCTGCCTGCCTGCCTGCCTGCCTGCCTGCCTGCCTGCCTGCCTGCCTGCCTGCGCATTGCCTTGCCTTGGGTGGTACCCATTCCTGTGAGTACACCAGTGACTCCCACGCTGTGCTTGACCTACTGAATTGTGTAGGCTCTTTATCTTGATGTACAGGGGCTTTAAATCTAATATGTCTGCTGCTGAACTTGACTTTACCTTTGGTCTACTTCCTGAAATGTTAGTTCCCGTGTCCCATCTTGTGACTGCAGCTCAACTCACCCAAGTCCCCTTTATTTCCTCAGTCTCTAGGACCTGTTGAAGCTCACATTTCTTCATCTACTCTCTCTGCTACTAGCTGACTCAGTCTGCCTCCACTTCTGCCTTTGCTATTAATCTGCTTTCCTAACTGTAGCCCTTTACTTTGTATATGTGCTATCTCTCTGTGTGTGCATACATATACGTACATATAGAATTAGAATTATATAGGGTGTGTGTGTGTGTGTGTAGAGGAGACAAACAGAAAGAGAACAAGGTAATGCTTGTAATTGATACAGAATTTTAAAATCAGAAGCAGCCATTGTTATGGATTTCTGGAGTGTCCAAAGAGTTGTTTCTGAAATGCAGTTCTAATTAGGTAAGTTTCCTAAACCTAAATTTTTTAGGAAGTCTCTATTATGATTCAGAAGAATCTAAATTAATGTGGACTGTGAGGCAATTTGACCTTAATTCCCTTTGTAACTACACCATTTAGCAGGAAGTACAGTATCCCTTCCTCTCTCAGGCCAGGTTCTTTTGAGCCTCTATATCTTTCACACAGACCTACAGTGACCTCTGCAAATGCTTTGCTGGGCTGGGTGTATACCTCAAATGCAAAGCTTGCCTGACACGTACTAATTCCTGGGTTTGTTTCCCAGTACTACATAAACTGGGAATGGAGGTTCACATATCAGCTACATAGGGAGTTCAAGGCCAGCCTGGTATATGTGAGACTGTCTCAAAAAGGGAGGGAGGCAGGGAGATAGATCTTATGCATTTCCAGTGTTGCCTCCTCTATGAAGGATTCACAAGAGTTTTCAAACATTTAAGAGACTCCATCTTCTATCTTTTTTTCTTACATCTTACAAAACACATTTTGTATATTGAAATTTGTTTGTGTGCCTTGGCTTCCATCAAATTTTGATCTTTCACTAATTTTTTGTTGTTGTTTTAGGCTTATTTTTATGCAAATAGGTGTTTTGCCTGCGTGTATTTTTGTTGCACCACATGCATGCAGTTCCTGTAGAAGCCAGAAGAGGGCATCAGAACCCCCTGGGGTTACAGAGGCTTGTTCTCTAGAAGAGCAGCCAGTGTTCTTAACTGCTAAGCCATCTCCCTAGCAGTTAAGATTTATTTTTACTATTGTTTCCTGTGTGAAGTGTTTTGCCTGCATGTGTTTATGAGTATCACGTGCTTACCTGATGCTCCTGGACTTTGAATCTTTTTAATCTACAGTTATAGAAGATTGTGGGCCATGTCAGTGTTAGCACTTCTGCAAAAGCATCAAGTACTCTTTAACAGCTCATCTAACCCTCCAGCCCCATAATTCTTGTTTGTTTGTTTGCCTGTTTGTTTGTTTTTCCTGAGCTGGTCCCTCACTGTGCAGCCTTAACTGTCCTGGAACTCTCTATGTAGATCATGCTGGGCTTGAACTCATAGACTTTCACCTGTCTGCTAGCCAAGTACTAGAACTAAAGGTGTGCCCCACAATACCCAGCATACAGTTGGGTAGTAAAAATAAATGTATGTGGGAGTAAGAAAAAATAAATATATTTATATTATTTTTTAATTATTTGTATGTGGGTATGTGCACATAAATGCAGGTGTCCACAGAAGCCAGAAGAGGATGTCATGTCCTCTGGAGCTGGAGTAACTAACAGGTGGTTGTGATCCACCTGGCATGGGTGCTGGGAACTGGACTAAGATTGTCTATATGAGTACTCTTAACCACTGAGCCCTCTCTTCGATACCCAGGGTTTGAACTTTTTACATACCATGTCCTATGAAATCTTACATTTGTTAATTGAATATGATGTTTGTCTTGTGTGGATTGAATTCAAATATTTACCAGGTAGGGTTGGTAGGATGGCTACTGACATCTGGATGATCGGAGTTTAATTCTCCAAACCCACATGGTGCAATGAGAGAAGTTATCCTTCCACCTCCAAATGCATGCATGTACACATGTGTGTACACATATACAAATAAATAAGTAAAATGCTTAAGGTGAATACTAATACAATATCTTTTCTCCTACTATGAAATATTTAGAAGCTTCTCAGGGAGACCACCAATGAATGGTGTGAATGATTGTATCTTTTCTCCTCACTGTGACCTTCCCCCTTATAGATTTAGAGAAATAGTCAGTTCTATTAGAAAGTATTAGACTTTAAGGAAACAAAATCTTACTTGTCAACTCACAAGATTTTCCTTAAACTAGACAGCCAGTTTGCTCATTTTCATTCTGGATGAGTCTTCACTGATGCCTGGCAATCTTGTGTCTTTTTTGGCACCAGTACACCCACACAGTTCCATGAACATCCTGAGGTTGCTTGGACTGAGATTCATCACAAATGACACTGAGTCATGCTGAGGGTATTTTACCCATTTATAGAAATGGTCCCTACTCCATTTACAATTCTGTAGTATCTGGGATATTTATGACTACCACATTAGTCATTATTTTTCTCTAGGACAATTCAGAGTAAAATTGGACCACAATTTTGCCCCATCTCGCTTTTGTATAACGCATCATTGACTGAGACAACGGTCACCTAGCATTTCTGTATCTTCAATTCCATGTTCCCCATGTGTTTCTATTCAGCCCCCATACTTAGGATGAGCCATAGTTACCCTGACTGGGACAGGGAATTTCTTGGGCCTCTTCAGCATCATGCAGACTTACTCAGGCAAATTCCTTTTGTCTCTGATAATTCTGCTCAGTGTGAGAGGAGTGAACACCTTTAGGCACTCCCTTTTCTGGATCATGTGTCAATCTCCTACAGTTCTGTTTTGTGTCATCAAGGTACCAATAACATGCCCACAGGAGGACAGTTTTCAGTTCACATGTTCAAATCAGTAGGCTTCCTCTGCTGTGATGATCGGTTATAGTAAGTCATGCTTATTACCACAAACACATAGTAGTGTGTTCTCAAAGACACAGCCAAACGTAGACATTAAAGACATTTCGAGAAGTCTGGTTTTGGGAGAAAAAAACACAAATACTTAATCCTCTCCAGTGACTATTAACTGTGATGGTAATTCCTGTCTTTGTGTGATATTTTATAACTTATACAGCATTATGCATCATGTACTAATTTGTGAAATAGATATTATTAAGCTCATCCTATAGATGAGCCAGTTAAGGCTCAGAAAAGTTAGGTAGTGCCCTCAGATTGTCAGTAGGTGGCATATCTAAAATTCATATTTAGCCTCCTGATGCACGGGTTCTCTTTATTAGTGGACTTTAGAAATAGAGGTTTGATGGGTGAGAACATCATTCTTAGTTAGTAAGGTAATTTTAATGATGAAAATAGTTTACTAGGAGAAGTACAAAGATGATCTCAGAATAAAGGTCAGTCTTGGTTAAAAATGTACATCTGGCCACCTTATACACTAGCATTTCTCTAGATGAAAGAGCATGTATCCTTCTTTAAAATTTTCATTTTGCTAAGAGTGAAGATGATGCCGCTGATTGACATTTTCAGATCACCGTTTAGTGCTTGTTTCCCTGGTCCACAGATCCTCATTGGCAAGCCATCACTAGAGAAGGAAGACATGGGGGTTGTGGTCAGAGACACGAGTATCATGACCTACTTCCACCACCACTAGGTGTGAAAGCTTGAGCAGGCCACCTCCCTAAGCCAAAGTCCTTAGCACATGGAGGCACCTGTTAGTTGAAGAAGCCCTAATATTGGTACCAGAGTAACCTGGGGAGATTCCCATTTCCTGGATTGTCGTCCAAGTTGTTGCTCCTGCTGTACTGACTCACACAAAAGAAGAGAGGGCACCACTGTTGTGTGCTTTGTTTTTGTTTTTTTCTGCCCAGAACTTACCATATGCCTCCCTGCCTACCTTGGAGTGAGTGCTTTAATCTAGGCCTTGCTCTCTGGTTATCACCCTGAAGTTTGTTTGGTACCAGTGCTTATGTCATTAAGTCCTCAGCAGATCTTCAGCTTTGCAACTTGACTTATAATCAGATCACTGACATTTAAGGACACTGGAACACCAGACATTACTGCTCAGGGCTCTATGCTGCTTGCATCGTAATTTAAAACCAAGTTACTCTGTGTCCTGTATATGGTATCATTATTAAAAGTAAATATACATGGTGTTCCCTATAGTCCCAGTACTTGAAAAGCTGAGGCAGAAAGAGTCATAAGTTTGAGGCCAGCTCCAAATGTATAGCAAGTTCAAGGCCAGACTGGATGACATGACAGACCCTGTCTTCAAACAGACCAGTTCAGTTTTGGTGCTCCATTGGCTAGTACTTCTCTTACCACACCATAGAGGAGACATTTAAGTCAGACCTGAAGTGTCGGACTTCC